AGAGACAGGGGAAAGCAGTGCATGACATACGTGGCGGGCTTGGGCAGGTGGATGGCGGAGCGTATTCTGGGGGAGTTGGCAGAAACATAAAACTTATTGAGAGCCACAAGAGATAGGGAGAAGGGGGGCATGATCTCGCATGTCCTGAAAGGACACAGCACATAAAAAGAAACTTCTATCTGTCTCTGTCAATTTTTAGTCGCCTGCTTCTGTCTATCGCCATATGTCTGTCTGTCTAAAATCGTCTGTTTCTATCTTTCTGTTTATAATCGTCTGTTAGCCTATTTATAATTGTGTGCTTCCATCTGACTGTCTCTCTATAGCCATCTCTGTCATTTTTTAGTCGTCTGCTTTTATCTGTTTATCTATAGCCACCTGTCTCTTTGTCGATAGCTATCTGTCTGTCTATAGCCGTCTGCTTCAATCTTCGTTATTATCACAATTTGAAAGTTACTGTTCGAGCACAATACCGAATATCGACATATATTTTATCTTTACCGGTGGTTGATTCCACTTTGAAGACAATCTTACTCGCTGTCATTTTCTCTATTCAGCCTTGTGTCGTACGATGTAAAGCTTAGTAAATATGAAGCTGGTACAGAACTTGAGCGACACACCTGTCACAATTGTTGCATTGAATCAAAAGTGACGGAAAGTAATTATGTTTTTATTCTCTCGATATTTGGAGGCCGAGTTTTGTTTTTGTTTTAACTCCGTCAACATTTGCAAATCGACACTTGTTTGTCAATTTCTGGGTCATTAAATGGTATTTAATCTGAGCGGCTGTTTCTACTACGTTCGATATTTAATATTTTCGTACAAACTTTCTTCTTCCTTTTCTATCAGCCTACTTCTCTCATGCTTTCTTTATTTTTTTCCTTCTTTTTTTTTCATACGCATCTTTTCTTTATATCTTTCTCTCACTTGCTATATTCTATTCATTTCTTCTTTCTTTCCTTTCTTATTCTCATCCACCCTTTTCTTTTTTTTCTTTTCCCTTTTCTATAATCTCATATCCTTCCTTCCTTCCTTCCTTCCTTCCTTGGATTTAGCTTGATGCCCCCCACTGAGCCAGGTTGTGACACAAGGTCGGTTTTTAACGTGGGGACCTGAGGTATTTCCACTCAGGCCGCTGGTCTAAGCTGTTCATAGCTTGTTTAAGCTGGTCATAGCTTGTCTAAGCTGGTCTTGGCCGGTCATAGCTTGTCTAAGCTGGTCAGAACCTGTCTAAGCTACTCATAGCCGGTCATACCACCGCCACGGAAATGTTACGAAACAAGAACGAAGATTCTGTCCACGCAACGGGGGAGTTGGGAGAGAAGATCTCCGTTACAGAACAGATACTACAACAGCAGCATCTACTCCGACGGAAAGTTCCTCCTCCTCTATTCCTTCCTTCCTTCCTTCTTGTTTTTCAATCTCTCCTTCTCTCTCTCATATCGTGACTTTCTTCCTTCCTTTTTTCATCCTCATTTTCTTTCTCTTTCCTCTTCCTTTTTCCTCTCTCACCTTTTCGGTTTTTCTTTATCTCTCTTTTCATTTCATTCTTTTCTCTGTGTGATATTTCCTCTTTCTTGTCTAACTCAGCCTATTTTTCCTACCATCTCTCTTTCCTTTTTTTCTCTTTCATTCTTATTTCATCTTTTTATTCCTCTTCTCTCTTTCATCTTTATTCTCTTCCTCTCGGGCTGCATATTTCCCTACTTATTTCTTTCTATCCTTCATTTTCTGGATTCTCTTCTCTTCCTTTCTTTCTATTTTCATTCCTTCTTTTTTTTTCTCTCTCATCTCTCTTTCTTTTTACTTTTCTTTTTAACTTCTTCCCTTTTTTCAACTTACCTCTTTCTTCTTGTTCTTCCTTCTTTTCCATACGTTTTTTTCTTCTTCTTTTTCTTTACGCACTCCATGTTTTAATGGTTTTTTTTCCACCTTTATTACTTCAGCATATTTTGTGACAGCATTTTTCTTTGTTTAACTTGGTGTATGCCAACTGTACATAGAAAGAAAGGGTAGCCTACTGCCGGAAAAATCTTCTGCCTTGTTAGTCATGAATCGAAAGAGACACGATCGCCCAAGCGCGTATCATGTATGGCAATTGATTTATATCAAATGTTTTTCATGTTTTCATTAAACTAACTTTGCGATTTTTATTTATGTCAACTGTGTGGCTCCATGACCTATCGTCGAATTTGAGATGAATATACCTAGTTTAAAATAACGAGTATGATTCTTAAAAAAATGTTTATTTCTGGTCATAAAGCCAATTTTACAACTCTGCAGTATGTATACACACACACACACACACACACACACACACACACACACACATATATATATATATATATATATATATATATATATATATATCGCTGTCATATTTTCCGCAATTGTCAATGATGGCCAGTCTAGATTCCGGTTAATCGTGACATGAAAAAAATAACTCACCCTTCTTCACCCTCTGAGGTTACTTTTCTATTTAGCATAGATCTGATATTTAATTGGTTAGTCAAGACATACCCACACGTCTATTTTTAATTCTGATCTTATGACCACGTCCTTTAACTTTCGGAAAAGAGGTAACACTTTGTTTTTAAATTCCCTTAAAAATAATTTAATCACCAGTTACTTACCATCGCCTGAAGAAGTACAATCAAAGTATTGAAACATGAAAGATTTTGGGTAGCGATTTCAAAATGTTTTTATGATAATCACTTATAATATATATATATATATATATATATATATATATATATATATATATATAGTTTAAGGTGTGCTATATTTATAGGATAAAGGGCTCAGTATCAGAGATAGAGCGTATGTAAATATAAAAGTAAACATTGAAGTCAATAATGTTCACTTTTTATATATATATATATATATATATATATATATATATATATATATTCTTCTCTCTCTTCCTCCTTTAGTCCCATAGACTCCACTGAGGAGTATCAGGCCACAGTTTTGAACAACATTTACCTGTGGTTACCTTGGCAATTAAGGTTTAACCGGATGAAGTTTGTAAGCCCATGTCTAACCGGTTTTGTGCCCGGCTTTCGCTTACGTTACCAGATGTTCCTAGCCAATACCCCATCTAAATATTGACCGAGTTCTACACTGCTTAACTTCTTTAATCAAACGAGAATCGGTGTTTCTCTCCACAATTTTCTCTTTCTTGTTGCTCTAAGAAATGGTTGACTCTTTAGCATTTTATTCCCACCATACCATCTATTCTTAAATAAGATAGAAATTGTACAAACAACCTGCAATATTATTAGTGCCAGAGACTTATCTTTGGTAGGACAGGATATGGATATGAATGTTACTTCACTTCGTTATAGGAACTGGTAAAAGAACATCCGGTTATTTGCCAGCAAGTCTAATGTAACATAACAGACATCTCTGTGCTCCTGGTCCGTGATCATTCTTAAGTCGCAATTACGAGTCATATGTTCTTTTTTCTTTTTAGGGATTTTAGGTATGCTGGATGCGGGCTACGTGAGGTTAAAGGCCAAGTAAGACGAGAAGAAAGAAAACAATAGTTGCAACATCGAAATTCTGAATGGATTCTCTAATTTCAGAGATCCCCAACTTCACAACTTCGCATCATCGCCCTACCTACAGGGAAGAGAAGGGGTAAAGTTCTACTCGTCATCTGTTCGCTTCTCTACTGTCTAATTGCCCAAAACGCATTCTCCCTCCTCCCCCTCTCTCTCTCTCTCTCTATATATATATATATATATATATATATAGAGAGAGAGAGAGAGAGATGTGTGTGAGTGCGCTCACGCGCGTGTGTACGTCTGGGTCAAAACACCCACGCTATTTCCTCCTACCAGGTGCATTTGAAAGACGTCAATGCCATTTCCAAGTGAGAAACCTGACCTTTCTCGCCGCGCAAAACAAATCATAACATTACAAAAGTACATTTCTGATGTTGTGATACTACAGTAGAGATAAAATTGATCCGATTTCCGTAAGCAGAACTTAATTTTATTGGCAAATTTACGGTATTAAATAAAAATAGAAGATCATGTGAGATGAGAGGTTTTCATTTTGGAAACCTTTTATAGCAAATTAAATGTAGATGGAAAATCATGTCCTATTAGATACTTTCTATTTAGAAACTTTTGATAAAAAAATGAATCTGTCTATATTTCTGAGATGAGGAATAATGTACACTATTTAAATTATTCGGACTATTGACCTCAACTTCATCGCCATATTTATTACAACGTTTCGACCGTTGTATGCTCCGGCCTTCATCAGGTGTTTGGAATGTCGAACTGAACCCTTTATTTTGCTCACTGGGGTAGACTGTTCTAGTTCCACTTGGAGAGGGTAATTAACAGGAGATAACTGATAACTGACATCCATTAGACATGGCACGTGGAGCTAGAACAGTCTACCCCAGTGAGCGAAATAAAGGCTTCAGTTCGACATTCCAACCACCTAAACGCCGAAACGTTGTAATAAATATGGCGACAAAGATGAGGGCAAGAATCCGAATAATGAAAATAGTGTAAAAAAATGAAGTTATTAAATAAAGATAGAACATCATGTAGGATGTGAGTTTTTCTTTATGGAGACATTTTATAAATATTTTTTTCTAAATAATCGTATTTTCACAAAAATAATGTGACATTTAGCAAGTTAGTCTTTCAAATCAGTTATTGTACCAGAAGTAGATGAGCTTAATTACTCTGTGCTTTGCTCAGAGCGATACAATCTCGTCTCGCAGGTCAGTTTGATCCTCACTGGGTGCAAAACTGATATATAAGACCAACTTACACGCAAACAGTCCTTTTTTATTCATTCAGACGCTGATGTCGTTAATGTAAAAAAAATGTCTAAAACACCGATATATTATTGATAAAATATTTTATCTGGATTTTTTCTATTCAAATAGCCTCCACAAAAAAGAAGCGAGATGTTGTTGTTTTTATTGGTCGACACAGATTATTAACGCAGAAATTGTATAAGCAGCCTGTAACATA